GGTGGGACCTCAGTGCACCTAATGACAATCATTCTGCTAACGAAGCACTTTGCTAACTTGTAATTAAGCCATCATGTAGTTAGTGTGATGGACTTTGCTACCTGCTGTGGTGCTGGCTAAGATTTCAGTTCTTCATCCCTCTAGCAAGAAGGCTTCGCTCTGGCTCCTCTCTCTACCCCCTTCTATAATCTACCCTGGCCTCGTTCCTTGTAAACCCTGCCTAAGTCCTAATCCGTACCCAGCGCAGTTTAGCAGGCTTGCGGATTGCATTTGAGAACGAGCAGTGTAATGCAGGACAAATCTGGTGGAAATTAAGAGGGATGAAATCGGGTTCTGTAGAAACCACTCTTTGAAAGCAGAGAAATCCCTTGGCTTTCTGCCCGTGCTTCAAGCCATACGAAGGTGCATCCAGGACGCACGTGCTGCTCCGCAGTGATCCTGAACCGCCGCTGGAAGGGGTCGTTCCTTTTTCTTCGGTCCCATCAGGCTGGGCAGCGGGGCACCAGAGCTGACAGCCGGCCGTCTGCTCTCGACCCAGCTGCCACAACGATCAGATGAGCAGACTTTCAGCAACGCCGGGGTTTGGAAACCTTCCAGTCCGGTGGGGTCGTGTGTGGATGGAGGCACATTATAGCTGGGGCGGGCCACAGCCCAAACCCAGTGTGATCTGGGCTGCTACGGTGCGGAGGAGTGTGATGCCAGTACGGGGCCTGTAACTTGAGGTCTTGATTCATTCTCTGTGGAGACACCGGTAAAACCGCAGCAGGCAGCTCCCTCTGCCGGCCCCATCTCCATCCCTCGAGGCCACGGGAATTTTCTCTTCCCAACAGCATTTTGCGTGAAGCCTCTGGCCCCCCCAGCTCATCGGCGTGCTTCACGGTGCTTTGAGCACTGCTTTTCCCATTCAGACAGGCCCGGGACACCAGGGGAGCTTGTCCCATGCAAGTGGGGCTGGCGAGGGCGAAAGCGGCTTGCCCAGCCCCTGCGGTGCTCTCTGCTATACAGGAGCTGAGCAGCGTCCTGCTGCGCGAGGGCACGAGCCCAACAGCTCATAATGCAAAAGAGCTGCTTGCCCCGCGGCACCTCTCCCATGTTTCTTTTTACTCCTGGTTCCCCCGGTTCCTTCCAAGAGTTGATCCCAGGCATCTTAGGTGGATCAGGGTTTGGGAGGTAGGACAGTCTGGTTTCTCCAGACACTCATTCTCCCTCCGCTGCCTGCAATTCAGAATGAGGGGGCTCCTTTTTCCGCGCCCAGATGGAAGTGTGTGGCCAGGTAATTCCCAAAATGAGCCTTAAGAAGCTGCACAATAGGCCAGGGGCAACGAAACTGGTTCTGATGGCCGGTGCTGGCAGCCGGGGCCTGGATGGGCAGAAGGATGGACACAGACGCTAGATCCTCCTCCCCGGGGCGGAGGGTTTGTGCTCCGGAGAGCAAGGCCGGAGCTGCCTCGATTCATCTCTCCCATTTGGTACCCAACTAGTAAGCTGGTGTCTGGAGGTGGCTGCAGCAGGAAATTATCCTCATCCATTACCTGCTTTTGGCTGCTAGCAAGGAGAAAGGTGTTGCTCAGCTTGTTGGTCTTTCCTTGCCCCTGTTATTCAGACGCCGTTCCCCCTCGGTTCCCTTCTGTCGCCACTGCTGGAGGGGGGTAGGCAGCCTGGCCCCAGATGGATGCCTGGATCCTGTCTGACGGTCGCTCCCTTGCTCCCTGTCTGCATTCAGGTTGGGCTCTGCTGATCTCCTGGAGATCAAGTCCTCCGTGTCCCCCCAGGCCTGGACTCAGATTTCTTCTGATCATTTCTCTCCGGAGGATTTCCGGGCCCTGGGCCTGCCTGGCTCCCTGTCCATGGTGCTTAAACAATAAGCAGCGTTCGGGAGCGGATCCTCTGTTCACCACAGGGAATGGGGAACCGGATCCTACGGCCCAAGGGGTGGCTATTGCCAAGCGAGGCGGGGAAGAGCCTGGCACCGCAGACCAGGAGGACTCCTGAAAGCCATCTTCCTTCTCAGCTTTGTGTGCTCTGCTTGGGGAGAAGCTGCCGGACACGACTGCCGGTGCATTTCCTGCAGGGATGATGTCTCTGCGCCCTGTGGTCTTCGACCGGCCTCGCTAGGAGGCCACGCTTGGCCCGCAGGGCCCCGTCTTCAGGCAGCTCCCCGGGGCTTTCCCAAAGGGGCTGGTTCCTAATCTGCCGGAGGGATCTCGCCCATCAGAAACGGAGACGCGCAGTGAGGGGTTTGCACAAGGAGACGCAGAAAGTTCCAGGGAAGCGGTGCAAAAATTCAGAGGTTTTAATGTGGCTGCAGCCGGCCACGGGGGAAAAACAAGGGGCTTGAGTTGTGAAGACAGGCACGGTGTGACTTGATCTGAAATGATCACCCACGTACTTCTCCACTAGCCTGCAACGCATGCTCATCCTCCCTCCGAACCAGCTTTTAACAGCTCTAGTTCGGAAAACTTAACTTTTCTATTATGGCACATTTGTCTCTCGTACCCAGGTGCTTAATTGCCATTGTCCCAGCAAAATGTCAGTGTGAGTCAGAGACAGTCTCCCATTAGGAAAAGACAGATGAATATTAATTAAACTTACTGGTGGGTGGGTTTTCTTTTTTATGTTTCCCCTGAGCCTGGCCTGGACCCTGTGGCTGTGCAACCCTTGACCTGACCAGCTGCAAAGGCACCCAGTGGTCATCTCGGGGCCAGCAGAGGACAACCTGCCGTGGGAGAAGAGGGTCCTCTCCCCATGGGTCACGGCACGAGAGGATCTGCAGCATTAAGTGAGTAATAAGCTTCATCGGCTCTAGGGACAGAAGTAATTTCATCTGCCCCTGTAACCAAAGGAAAAAAGCTCATATTAAGAAACCTTGTTATGAACTGCTGCTCTCTGTGGGCCTAAGGGTTGAACGTGCATTGCACTCGCTTTCCTCTTGCTGGTTTTGTCTGCAGTGCAGTGAAGCTGGTTTAAAGCCTAGCAGCTGGGGACTGTCCATGGCCATTTGCTGGGGCGTTCAGTTTAATGCCTAGGCTCTTCGTGCAGATTCAGATCCCAAAGGACATTCACTGGAACGGAGTCTCTGCAGCTGAATGGAGGTAGCAGGCAGCCGTCGGCTCCTTTCTCCCTCGTTTCTGAGCTGTGTGGTGCACACGTGTTCAAACAGGCCTTCCGCATTTGGGGGCAGGCGTTTGAAACCGGGCTTCTATTTTTGCCTTCGCAATTACGTGTGGGCACCGCTGATGTCAGCTTGATGTTTGAGTCCTGATACCATCCAGGCGGGGAGCGATGGATCTAACTGGCAGCTATTTCATTTCCCGTCATTGCCGGGGCAGAATGAGAGGCTGCGATGAGGCCCCAGCTCCAGGCCTCAAGCTGCGCACTTCAGTTCCACGGTGCCGTGGGCGGATGCACTCAGTGTCACGGCGGATGACGACGATTAATCAAGTCAGCGGGCACTTGCTGAGATCCATCTTGTCCCCAGAGTATTAGTGGGAAAAAACGGAGGACAGATTTTTTTGAAAAAAAAATGACTGGTGCATCGCAGCTTGGGAGGATTAGCTGGTAAAAGCCATTAGCTCCTTAGTTAGGGAGTTGTTTTTCAGCATTTGGTCATCAGAGAGGGATGGTCCTATCCCAACGCCACTGCAGGCAATAGGAGTCCTCGCTTTGCCCTCATCGGGTTGCGGGTTAGGCCCAGGGTCTATCCAAGGGCAGCCTCTGGAGGCAGTGCTGCTGGGTGCAGAGATCTCCATGGCTGGCCAGAGGATAAAACAGGCCCACGACCTGTCTCTGGGGAGAGTCTTGACATGAGACACCAACATCTTCCCCTCCTGGTCTGGGGGGCAAAGGTCCTGAGCTCGCAAGGGAGATGTCTCCAACTGCCTGGCATCTGGGGTCCAGGCCCTTGGGGTTGCCCCTCCAAGGGGTTTGGCCCATTAGATGCCACATCTTCCTACCTTTTGCATTTAGCACCTGTGTAATTACAGCTGCATGTTTCTTCCATCCCTTCGGACCCTTCCCTTCCCCCCTTGGTGGATTTTGGCAGGGGTTTGGCTCTGTGGGGGCACATCTAAACCCCACAGAAGAGTTAATGAACAGGAGGACCACCTCCCCAGCTGTGGCTGCATGACTAGCAACAGCTGGGAGACCAAGCTGGCATCCAAGCTGGTGGCAGCCAGAAAGGTTTATGAGATATATCCAGGAAGCTGCTTGGTAAGCAGCCTGGCAGGCATCCTCCTAGGAGCTCCACGAGGGTGGGAAAGTGGTGGCCAGGCTCTCCCAGCCCCATGTGGTCTCGTCTGTGGGAGCATGAAAGGGGCATCCAGGACACAGGCTGGAATAGCCCCGTGGGATGGTTTGTGATGCAGCATGTAGGGACTCACGCTGCCAGCAAAAGGGCAAGGCGGGCCAGCGGTCATGTTTTCAAGGCAACATGTGCATCCAGGGCTTCAGAAACCCTTCACCTTTGGGGCGGAGGCCCACTCCCAGAGGTAAAAGGCCTCCCTGCTGCTGCAGGCGAGATGCAGGGTCTCGAAGGGTAAAGGGCAGTGCCCGGGGACCAGGTGTTCAGGTGGGCTGCACGGATCAGGGCTGGGGATCAGCTCCAGGCCCTTTTCTGCCTCTCCCATGTCCACCCGCTCCCTCTCCTCCTCCTCCATGCTCATTGTACTCCCCTCTCTTTGTCTTCCTCCCAAGGTAATTATCAATAGCTGGATGTGCAGGGGAAAGAGGAGGCGGAGTGGGTGGTGGTGAGAACATGCAGCCGATCTGGGGCGATGAATAAAGGCCCGTGTTTCTCGGTGAGCGCGGGTGGAAGTGGTGGAACAAACGAGGCGGCATCGGGAGGTCAAGGCGAGGCAGCTCCGAGCGCACAAAACACCGGGGGAGGTGAGAGACGAGGCAGTCGAGGAGGGCTGCGAGGCTGCCGCGCGTCCCCGCCGCCTGCAGCCACGCTGGCTCGGGCCTCCCTCTGCTCCGGACTCGCCTCGTGGAGAAGACGGCTGGGAAGAGGCAAGTCTCAGGGCCTGCGAGGCCTCCTGTAATTGTGACGATGTGAGTGTGGACGGGGTCTGGTCCAGGGGACTCGGTGCAGCAGGGAGCCTGTTCCTGGGGTTCCCGCGTGGAAACGCAGGTCTGTTTACACCCGAGTTTGCAGGTGTGGCATGTCCCTAGGTGTCCATGCGCTCTCTCGTCTCTCCTGTAGCTCCAGGGAGGCTTCGTCTCCGAGGCACCACTGAGCCGACCAAGTCTGTCTGGACCTTGGGAAGCAGGTGAGAGCAGGGGCCTGCCTTCTTGCTGCTCTGCGTTGCCTCTCGGGGCGGCGGGGGCTTGGACGTAGCGCTGCGGAGAGGGTAGTGCCTTGCAGGCCTCATGCAATAGGGTGCAATCCTATTGCCATTGCTGGCGTGACCTCCTCTCTGACCTGAAGGGGCCAGGGCTGGGGACGGTTGGTAGCTCAAATGCCAGGACCTCTTTGTGTGCGACCGCGTGTGCATTCGTGCCGTTCGCTGGCCTCTGGACCAGGACCCCACACGGCCTCCGCGACGAGGAGCGCGCTGCTCCACGACCAGCCCCAAGAGCCGAGATTCCCGGGACGGCCCAGGGGTGTGCAACGCTCGTCTCTGCCGCACCGACGGGCAGGCCGGGAGCGTGTCGCGAGTGGAACGTGCGTTCCCTCACCCCTGCGTGTGTGCATGTGAGTGTGTGTGTGCAGCCGCCCCCTGCCCTGCACACTCTTGCTGTGAGCAGATGCCTGGTGGGTGTTGCGCGGAGTTTGTGTTTCCAGGACTTGGGGAGGAAGGCAGCCCTGCTCGGGGCGGTGGAGAGGAGCCTGCCTGGTCCTGATTATTCACAGCCTCCGTGTGCCCCTATTGGCTCCGGGGAGCCTGTGCCGGTGACAGGAGGAGGCTCCGTGTCAATAAAAAGAGGGCATGGGAACAGCAGGGCTGCGTTTCTGACGGGGAGCCAGCTCCGCTCTGCAGCTCTTGGAGCCGGGGGACGAGCAGCAGCTGCAGGCAGGGACTTCCCCCCCCAGGACCAGACTGCCCTGACGCCCAGGCAGGAGACGCAGCCGGAGCGCACAACTTTCCAAGGGAGTCTGCAGCTCCCAGAATAAACTTTCCCTTCCTGGGCTAGGACCTGTGCCGGGGCTGGCTGCGTCCTCCAGGTAAGACCCCCGTGGGGTGCCGCATCTCTCTTACGCGCACCCCTGAATCTGGTGACTTGGGGGCCGAATCCTTTGCTCCAGGCTTCACTTTTCATTCCCTTGCATCCCCGTGTCTGGCAGTGACGGCGACTCAGGTACCGATCCTGTCCTTGTTTCCAAACAGCGCCGCGTTCTCGTGCCACCGACTCCTGACACCAGCTGCTAGCTGTTCGGTCTATTTAAAGACCTGCAGTGGTGTTGGGCACTTCTAAATCCCCCTATACGTGTCCATCGCTGCTGTCTTTCGGTCTGTCTGTGCTTGTAAATCCTTCCCTTGTGCTTCACGGCAGTGCAGGTCCCATATCTTTTCATCTGCCACGGGGTGACAGGATGAGTTGGAAGAAACAAAGAAAAATTTCAGAATGGACTTAAAGTGGGCTTGGGGTTCAATACATGCATCTACATCTAAACTGACATGTATATACATCCATAAATATTAATCTATATATAAAATATAAATCTAGGGTCTATATTGTCTACACATACACACATAGTGTTCGTGTGTACGTGTGCACGTGTAAGACTGTCAGTCAGGGCAAACTCTGCAGAGTAGTTGAATTTTTTTCTGCATTTTTCTTTTGCATCTGAGCATCTTTGTTTCATAAACCGAACCTGCCTATAAGACAGCTTCAGGTCATCGGTAAAGACCCAAATACAAATGCTGGACACAGGAAAAGATAGTTTTATAATAGAGCTATTTATACGGTCCTAGGAAGTGTCCAAAATGATTTGAGCTCTTTGAGAAGGGACAAATCGTGTCGCTTGGATAAACAAAGTGGTGGGACAAGTGCACAGTGTCTCTGCTGTGCCTGCTCCAGGTAGAGCCACACTGTTGTACTGGGGATGAGAATTATTAAGAAAAAGATCTTCGCATCTCTTGTGTTTTTAACCAAAGGACTCTGCAGCCCTCCTCACCCCCCCGCCCCAAGCGATGTGGTGGTGTTGTTATAAAGGACCTCTTCTTGAAATCACCTGCTATGGACTGCAGGCAGAAGGAATCAGGACTCATGGTAGAGGCGATATCTTTTATTAGACCAACTAGATTTTTGCAAAAACACCTCTTTAATTGCAAGCTTTCCAGCACGAACACCCTTCATCAGGCATAGGAGAAAAGACTGTAAAAGTTCTCCTGGGTGCCTGGATACTTGCTACAGACATTGCCTTCCTTTCCCTTCTTTTTCCACCCGCTTGTGAAACATGCTGTGTCGGGGCTGTGTTGTTTTCCAGCTGCACACATGAGATGTGCTGGGGAAAGGCCAGAGGGATTTGGCATCAACTTTATTACTTTTTTTAAAGAATTCATCTTTGAGGAGAGACCAAAGAGGAAATAATTTAGCTCCCCAGGTGCCTGTTTCATGAAGTTACGAATAGCTATGTTATAACCGAAGCAGTTTTGCAGCCTGGAAGTGCAACACCCGTTAACAGCGTGTCAGACCGTCTACCCAAGCAGCTGTCTATCCAGGGTGCACACCCTGGTGTGTGTGTGTGTGTGTGCGCACACCCATTCATTATTGTGTAGGTCTGCACTGGGGAGGGACCTCTGGGTGCTGGAGAGCTGGTGTGCTGAGAGGAGCTACAGGCAGGATTGCCGTCACGAAGCCCCGGCCTCTGACTGCGCCGGGTGTGGGAGTCGTGTGCGGCATGTTACGCCGCAAGTGTCAAGGAAACGTTCTCCTCTTGCATGGTGCTAAATGCTCCTATAATTTATCACATCTGTTTTCAAACATCTCTGCAATAAATATTATCACAGGCAGGTCGGGCGGTGCCTGGCTTTTCCCCTCAGCCGGCGGGGCTCCTCTTCTGGTCTCCTTGCTGAAATATGAAATCCAATAAGCAGGGAGTCAGGACTTTAATTCCCTGCTCTTGTGGCTTATAAGGTGCCCTAAATCATCCCGAGAGAAATCAATGAGTGGGAGCGGATTGCCAGAAATGCCACAGATAATGGGGGTCTGTCCTCCGCCCCTTCTTTCAGAAACAGCTTTCGTCTCTGAGTCGAAGTGCAGAAAACCCTGGAGAGAGAAAAATGCAGTCTCCAGGCTGTCAGTCAGACCTTGCGTGAGCAGATGCTGCTGCACCAAAGTCAGCAGAGAGGTACCTCGGTACCCGGGGCCCCGAGCCTTTGGGAAAGGAGGTAGAGGAGAAGCCTAACTCCTACCAAAGTGAAGGCCGCGGGAGTGCCATGCTTGCTGCATGCTTTGCTCCGTGCTGGGGGGTCCGCGCGAGATGCAGCCAAGCGCCCTCCGTGAGAGCCAGGCTGCAAATCCTGCCCCCTCTCCTACACCCTTCCCTGGGGCTCAGAGACCTTCACAGCAGTAACATAAATGTAGGTGGCTTTGCTGGCATCTTTCTGCGTGCAGCTGGATGCCTTCCTCAGCCTACAGCACCACTCATCATCACTCAGGGAAGGACGCGGGCGTCGGATGGCCTGAGGATAGAAATGGAGCCGTGTGTGTCTTCCTTGTTCTTCTCTTCTTATTCATCCCCACCTTTTGTGTCCTTCTTGCAGGCGTTTCCATACCAACCCTTCCTCCCCGTGTCTTGTGCCCTTTTCCTTCATCTTCCGTGCAGATCCATGACCTCCCACCTTGCAGCTGGAAAGCCTTCCCGACGGGGCTGTTGCAAACCCCACCAGGTCAGGAACGGCTGGGGCTGCATTTCCAGTTGCGCCTTTGCAGCTGCTCTAAGGACATGTTCTCTTATTGGCTTGATGGTGCCTCACCCCCTATTTCTGTTCCTAGCAACCCATTGCAAGAGGGGCAGAGAGGGAGGGGGGTTTGGTGTTGGGGGGAAGGAAAAAACTCTTGTTGTCCTCTTCCACGGGTTTGCTACGTGGCCTTCGGCAAGCCGGTCTCCCCAGTCTGTGCCTCCTTAGCTCACGTTGAAAAATGTGTGCCCTGTTTCACAGGCAGGTTGTGAGGCTGCCTGGCGCTGAGATCCCGGGAGGAAGATGCTGCCTCCATAGAAATCATTGTCACTGTACCACTATTCATTTACCGCGCGGGCCTGTCCCGGGTCCCAGCCGGGTGGATTTTGCATTGCATTAATACTGTGCGCCCGGCATGTGACAAATGCAGATCATCCCAATTACATTTCAATTCAGCAGGAATCAATGAGGGAGCATTAGCATTTCTTCATCAGTCTCAGTGACCGCCCATTTGCAGACGCAGGCTGCGAATACCGTGCGCTGCAGGTGTGGAAAGGCTCCAGCGCGCCTCGATCGGCGGACATGAAGACCTGCTTATGAACACGATCGGTGCAACGACCCCTCTCGCACACTCTGTGCAAGAGGCAGGGTTGAAAGTCCCTGACTTTATTTTCCTCCTGATAGAAGGGAAACGGAGCAAGTGCCTTCCCTCCCCAGGCCAGCCGTGTTTCCTGGCTTGATAACCCACCTGCTTCCCTATTCTCAGGGGAATCCAGGTGGCAGCAAGGTGTTACATCAAACACCAAGCTGGCTGCAGCAGCCACATGGAAGCTGGGGAAAATGAGTGCATCCTGCTTGGGCACCTCGGGTCTCCTCCTGCTGCGGCTGACCTCGTCTCTCGCGGGCGAAGGTGCTTGGAAGACGTGAGCCAGGAGGGGCTGGTTGCCCACCTGTGGGGGTGTCAGTGTGGAAGCCCTGGTGGGACGTGGGAAGAAGGGTGTGTGGAGAGTTTGCAAAGGAGGAAGCTTAGTGTCGAGGGGGCATTAGCAGACATTTGGAGAAACCTTTCAGATGCTTTCTGCACTTGCCCTGGATGGAAATCCCCAACTGAGAAGGCCGTTCTCGTTCGCCAGCTCTACGTGCTGTGGCCCTGATGCACCCACCTGCTGAGCGGTGATCCAGGCAGGATGGGGGTGCCCAGCCGGCATCTTGTTTCTTGAAGTTCGATGAGGTCCCGAATGGAGTTTGCTCCCCTCCATCTGCCCCCAGTCCTCCCAGGAGGTCAAACCCCGGGGGTACGAAGCGTTCCCTGCAGCAGAGACCTGGGGGTGGCAGAGATACGGCTTCCCGGTGATGGCAACATGCAAGCCTTGAATTCAGGCCTCGGTGCCCCTCCCCTGCCCCCGGCGAGTGAATAGCTGCCCCCGATTCCTATGGTTTTCTTCTTCAAGGCCGTGTGCGCAAAGCAGTGATTCATCCTCTCCAAGCCACTCCACGGCGCGGGGCTGACAACGCAGCAGAGAAGCGCATGCTGCTCTTGATGGAAAGCAGCTGCCCCTAGCATGGTGCACAAAGGGCTTTGCAACAGCCGCCTTTGAATGCCGCACCAGGAGGAGCAAGTCCCCGAGCGACTGCTCCAAAAGCGGGGTGGGGGGTCCAGCCTGTAGGAGCCGAGCCGGGGAGGCAGGGTCCCGATGCACAGACGAGCACGACCACCTGGGAGCACCGAGACACGAGTCAGGGCTGCCCTAAGGGAGGGGGGCAACAGGCCAGATCTCCAGCCAGGGTGGAGGCAAGGCAGCTTCCATGGAGCTGGGCTTGGCTGGCGTGGCGGGACCATGGGTGACACGTGGGTGGGAGCTGGGGGTTTTGGGGCCTGCAGGTGAACGCGCGTTTGCAGGCCGGTGCATGCACACACACGTGTGATGCTCTGCTGCTACTGGGCTGCAAGCTCTGGCTCTTTGCTCCTGCTATAGCAGAGATCAGCCAAGGCACCCTCCTGCCATGCGGACAGCACAGCAAGGTACCACTGCCTTGCCCCCCCGGGTATCTGGCAAGCAGCTGGGCTGCCCCTGCAGGACTTCGGGAGCTGTTTCCCAGACGTGCCGGGTGACCAGCATGCACAGGCTGTGCCAAGTGCAAGTGCAAAGCCCATTTCTTTGTAAGTGCCTTCCCATCTGGGCAGCCTGGAGTGGAGCTGGGCTCTCCTGAAACCTTATCCAACCCCTTACCTGCCTGGCCCATCTCCCAGCAAGTCCCAGAGAAGCCCCTTCAGCTCCCACCAGGGCTACTCCAGTAGCTATAGCCCTGCAGACTGGTCACACTGGAGGTGGGGGTGCAGCTGCAGCGCCGTTTCCCCGGGGCTGCCTCTGCTCCCAGCTCCTCTCCGGCTCAGGGAGCCCTGCCAGGTTCCCGCAGACCCACGAGATGGGCAGAGAGGGGCCCATGCCCTGGGTTGGTGCCGGGAGCGCCCATGGGTGAAATGTAACCTGCCTCTCGCCTTGTCCCGTCTCTCCCCGCTGCAGGAGGTGCTTGCTGGGCAGGATGGAGTGGCAGGTGCTGGTGCTGGCCGCCTGCCTGGGCTTGGCTGACCCGGCCTCCGCGGACTGTGCCGCCCAGTGCTCCGCGTGTGCCGCGCAGACCCAGGATGCAGAGCAGAGCATCAACCCGCTGGTGAGTGCTGGGGACGGCGGGGCTGGCTGGCCCGGCAGGGTGCTGGCATGCCCCGTTAAAACGCAGCCGAGCAGACAGCGCTCTCAGTGACTTTTTTCCCGAGTGTAAGAGCTGAAATGACAGGCAAGACCTCACTCTGCAGCTTGCATCGGGCATTGCCAGGGGAGGGCAAGATAAGTGGTAGCAGGTCCCTGCCCCTGTCCGCTGGATTGCAGCAGGACATTTCACTTGCAAATTTAACAGGTCGCCGGCATTTACCGGATCGGGCTCCAGCCCCAGAAAGCATGACTTACTACTTCCTGAGGGCACTGCAGGGCCAGTCCATCAGCTCAGGGATGGCATGCCTGGGACGTCCACTGATTTTAGGATTATTATAGCAAAGCCCAGAGATCCCCAACAGCGGGCTGCCTTGCCCACCGCCCTGCACCCGGGGCAGCCATAACCCTGATGCCACGTGCACGCGGATGCTCCTGCTCTGATGGCATCTCCTACCCATTCGGCAAGGGGGTAAAGCATGGTGCCAAGGGCCAGGAAATGCAGAAGCCAGGCCATGAGGTCAGGGGGCTCCACCGACTGGTCCCTCTTTCTGCATCCAGGCCAGACCCTGGGCGTTAGCGTGCCCCGCTTCTCCCGGGGGTGGCTGCTTTTTGGAGGCTGAGAAGTGACACCAGGGGTCATGGCTGTGCCCTCCCCGGTGTGTTGCAGATCTGTGCGCTGGAGTGCCAGGGCTCCTTGCTGTCCGGCGCCGAGTGGGAGAGGTGCCAGGGTGCCCTGTCCCTCCTCACCCCCTTCCTGGCAGCAGCGGAGGGAAAGGACCTGTCCCCACTGGAGGCGGAGGCCGACGGGAGCCCTGGCCTGGCGGAGATGTCCGGCGGCCCCGTGAAGCGCTACGGCGGCTTCATGAAGAAGCTGGACAAGAACAAGATCTTCTCCCTGCTGCGCGAGAACGCGCACAGCAAGGGCGGCCTGCACAAGACGTACGGCGGCTTCTCCCGCAAGCTGGGCGAGCGGGAGGCCTTGGAGATGGCCGAGGACGACCCGGCGCTGGAGCCCGGGGACGAGCCCAAGGAAGGGGGCCTCAAGGACGAGATGAAGCGCTACGGCGGCTTCCTCCGCAAGTACCCCAAGAGGAGCTCGGAGCAGGCGGCCGAGGGCGGCGGGTCGGAGCCGGAGGACCTGCACAAGCGCTACGGTGGCTTCATGCGCCGCATCCGCCCCAAGCTCAAGTGGGACAATCAGAAGCGCTACGGCGGCTTCCTGCGGCGCCAGTTCAAGGTGACGACACGGTCAGACGAGGACCCCAGCGTCTACTCGGGGGAGGTCTTGGACCTATAGAGCCCCCCACACCCGACACGTTTCCTGTAGGGACTGCACCGCTCATCCCGGCCCGTGTCCCCCCGCGCTCAGCCAGGCAGCGCAGGTCTTGCGCTCCATAGACAGGGACGGTCACCACCCAGCTGCTGCTTCCCCAACGAGCCAGAGGTTCAGGGTCGGGCGGGGGCTGCGACCTGCAGCCTTCCCCGCTGGGCTGTCTGCCGCCGTTCTGGGATTGGGACCCGCCTGTTCCCAGCACCGGACAGGCAGCCCCAGACCCGGGTTGATTTCAGTCCCTTTGCCCAACAGCCGTTGTTAGGAGATGGCCCAAGCCAACCCGCCGTGCCCGCCTGTGCAACACCCCACGCCCGGGAGAAGTGTTGGCCTGCGTCGAAACCCCCCGGGGTGACCCCTTCGGTCTGTAACGGACCAAACCGGCGCACCAGGTCCAAATGCCCCCGGGCTGGGATGCAGCTCCAGGTCTGACCCACCACGGTATCCCCTCTGCAGAGGCTCGAGCACGGCTGCTGCAGCTCGCTTCAAACACGGAGCAGTGGCCTTCCTGCTGTTCCTCCTTGGCTCCATTCGTGCCGTTCCCTCTGCTGCGCTTGCGCACGCTGCACCCCACTCTGCGTCTCTGAGGGGAGAGGGTTTGTCCTCCGCTGACCTGGTTTTGCTCCAGCTCCATTGCAGCCGCGTGGCTTTGCCAGGCACCATGATGGAGGGAGAACAAAGGGGTCACCTTCATGACGCCCCGATTTGATCTCTGCACTGCTGCCCCTGGGGGGTCTCTGTGCCCAGGCATGGAGCAAGGGGAAGACGTCCTGCTGCTGGCACTGCCCTATTCTTTGTGCCCCGGCGAGGCTGGCACACATGGGATCAGAGCTGCTGGTAATTAGGCGCCACTTTGAACGCCCTTCGCAGTCTCCATCCTATCGCGTGCACCCAGAGGGGATGCTGCTCGCACAGATCAAAGCATGGGGCCAGCGCTGAAAGCCAGACTCGTGGCCTGATGCTGCCAGCCAGCACGCCGCTCTCTCCCCGCGAGCTCTCAGACGCAGCCGGCCCACAGAGACCCCCACGATTTGGATGGGACAGTCGTATGTCTCCATTGCAGTCCATGGGGTGAGCCTGGGGCCAGTTTGCCGAGGGAAAGGGGTCAGGATCCAGCTTACCCTAGGGGGGTCACTGGCTGGGACCGGAAGGGGTAGCAGAGCATTTCCATTTCCCATTGATAACGGGCAACGGAAGCCCCCCGGCCATGGGGGCCGCCGAGGTTGGGGTACCGTGGGGCCGCACTGCCTGGCTGAGCCCCTGCCACCCCCCGCAGTCGCTCGCTCCCTTGTGCTGTTTGTGAAGCGTGCAGGTCACCCGGAGTCTGCCTCCGGTCCCTTTTTTTTTGTTATTTGGTTTACAGGGATCAATAAACGCCGACGTCGTTAGGTCCGGCTCTGCTTTGGCCCATCCTTCCCAGTGTCGGCTCTGCGCTGGCGCTGCCTCTGCCCCCCGCCGCGGCTCGGGGGATTGCAGCCATCCCAAAGGGACGGGGCAGGCGCCTTGCTGACCCCTGAATCCCAAGAGGGCAGCTCAGCCCAGCCCAGCCCACGTGGGAGGGGGACCTGCATGTGCCAGGGGCGTGTGGGCCCTGGGGTGGGGGGAGCAGGCATCACAGCTGCAAGGGCAGAGAGAAAGAAGCAAGGGACACTCCCTTCTCAGGCTATGGGGCATGGGGGGTGCCCAGGGGGTCAGCTCTGCTCCCCCACAGCAGGGGAGAAGACCCCCGATTTCTGCCACTGCCATCCTGGCGGGCGAGCAGGGCCAGCGTGCACTGGCAGGTGTCTGTGACCGGCATTGGGAGCCTATGGGCGTTGCACCCCCGTTGGGGGCTCATGGTTTCGGGAGGAGCTTGGACGACAAGGCAGACAAGCCCCAAGCTCCCCCGCAGCCCCTGGCTCCCAGCTCTTCTCCTCCCCGGGCAGCTGCCTGGAAGGCCTTTAGCCCTGTGTGCTGCCCCCAGCGCCCCCTCTGCGACGCGGGGGGCAGCCCGCACCCCATTGCGGGTGAGAAGGGCGTCTGGTCCTTCTCCGCTCACCAGCGAGACGCGGCTGCTACCTGCCTTCCCCGTCTTCACCCCCGCCCTGGAGCTCTGCCCTGACTTACACACCCGAAGCTTTCAGGGGCTTGCTCCTGATTTACCCCGGAGTAAACAGGACCAGGCTCAAACAGCTCCTGCAGCCACCCCTTAAAAGCAGCGTACTAAAGCTAACACATGCTCACTATGGTGACAGGGAGGAAACCAAAGGGCTGGAGCAGCTGCTGTGAGCTCTTACAAAGCAGGAACCGGAGATCAACCACGTCTGAGCAAGGTGGGATCTGGGGTAGGGGAAAGGGCATGGAGAGGTGGGTGCATCCTGCCTCCCAGCCAGGCCTGGAGGAGTTAACAGCCCCCCTGGGGGCAGGGGCAGTTTGGGAGGAGGAGAACAACCCTCAGCTGGGGCTGGTTAGGAGGAGGCAGCTGTGCAGCATCTCCCTGCCCTCAGGACAGCTGTGCCCAGCTGGGAGAGGAAGCTGCCAGCATGGCCTGAGGCCGCTTTCGCTCTGGATGGATGGCCAGATGCTCACTTCTGCAGCAGGGCTGTGAGCAGGTACTCTGCCTGGGTGGGGGACCTAGGCTATTCTGGTGTCCCTCTCTCCGGGAAAGTCTTCTGTGCTTGGCCTGGCTGAGTCCCAGGCGAGGGGGGCTCCGGGAGACCCGTGGGGGCTGAACAGCATGCCCGGGCTGCGAGCTGGGGGGGCTGCACCTCTTCTCCTCTCTCCTGGGAACTCGGGATGTGCCCATAGCATGGAGGTGAGACAAGGCACCTGGCTGAGAAGCAGCGGGGCCTGCCCAGCGGTGCTCAGGGATGCCCGCACCTCTGCTCGGAGCTCCTTTTGCCTCCGTTTGAGTCACCGAGGCACGAAGCAGCGGCTGCCTCGCAGCCACCTCTGGCCTGGCACGTGCCGGCCAGCTCCTACCCCTGCCTTGGCCTAACCCCGGAGGGACGCGGCCGTGGGGAAACGGTACATCAACACCTGGTCTAGCAGCACAGGGCTCCGGCTGCAGCCAGCTGTGGCTAAGGGCTGCAGACTGGGTTGCGGTGCTCGAACATCTGGGCTCTGCGAATGGCGAAGGGGCCGTTGCAATCTCCTCCCTGCCCCAGGAGCAGGCTGCGGGGTGAGAACCGCGTTCCCTCTTTCGGCGGCGGAGGCTGCCACGTGCCCGATTGTGCTACGGAGGCTGCCTGCGATGTGCTCACAATAAGGTGCAGAGCTCACGGGGTGGGGGGAAGGAGGCAGCAGGCTATAGGGACGTGGGAGCCCGGGGTCGTGGTATCCGGAGGCTGGGCCTGTAACCTCGGTCTGGACGTGCACATCTGGGGATCAGTTTGCAATGGGAGGAAGAAGTAAGTGGGGCAGAGGGGTCTTGTCCGAAGCAGGGCAAATCTGTGGTCCCCTCTGCCACTGAAACAGCACCCTGGTAATTTGGGTCTCTTCCAGCCCGGCTCCTCTCTGAAGGCAGCCATACCCCAGGTGTTAAAGGGCTTTGGCATGTACGTGTGGCACGCATGTCCCTCTGGCAGCCGGCGCAGGCTTCCCCCACCCAGGGAGAGCGAGGGCCCTGCTTTCTGGTATCCAGCCCATGAGCTCCGCTTAGTGGCGGCTCCGAGGTAGAGAAGCATCAGCTTAAAACCCAGGTATGGAGAGAAGCAAGAGGCTCTTGCAGGTAGGAGCTGGGAGCTGACGGGAGCTGCTAGCCTCAGAAAAAGGGATTTGCAGTAACACACCCCGAGCTGGGTCTCTCCAGGCCCACGGGACGCGCACGGCAGCTGCAGAGAAACCTTTGGAGTCAAACCGGAGCCACTACTGCTTTCAAACTGCTTTCCCACCCCCCTTTTTAAATTTCCTTGGGACTAATTAAAAAAACCTTCTTGAGTCGCATCTGGACAGGAGGAGTTGTGGCATTTTGGGGCAGCTGGGGTGCGTGCGTAAATGGGGAAGGAGACGTGGGGTGGGAGTGGGGGTGTTGCAACAGGAAACCTCCTTTTGCGCCGTAATGTCTTGGCCCAGGTTGACAGCCTCTCGCTGTTCCCTTTCGGCATCTGTCTCCCCGTGCCGCTCTGACACGTGCTAAGAAGGTGCGAGCTCAGCCGCAGAGAGCAAGGATAATGGATCATGGCAGGTTCATTTATTTATCTATTTTTTTTTTTTTTCCTTTCCCCTCCGAGGAAAACACTCAGGTAATGCTTCTGTGCCGTGGCACGTGCAGGCACCGAGCCTTGCTCTTAAGGTCGTGCTTCCCCCTCAGCCGTACGCCGCTTGCAGCTCCTGCCATTCCCAGCATGGCCGTTGCACCCCGAACCCATTTCGCCTGAGGCTCGTGACCCGGGATCCTTGCAGAAAGCATCACGCTCCTCAAGCTTGCAGCTGCACCTCTGCACGGACATTTCCCATTTGAAGCTGTCCCTTTCCTCTGCTGGCTTTGGCTTTGAACAGGTGCTGGAGGGCGGTTTGAATGTGAGCCACTTTCCCCCTTCCGAGCGAGCAGACCTGGGGGGGGCCCTGTGCAAGGTGCCAGGGAGGATGGTGGAGAAAAATCCCCGGGTTGCAGAGAGGTTCTGGCAGCAGCTGCTGAGCTGCAGGGCGTGATAGTGCTGCAGTCTTCCCAGAGCAGTGACCACAGGCCACCTGGACTGTGTTATTGCACTGTGATGTTTTTCTTCTCACTCATGTGCTGGGTTGCATATGCTTGGCTTTATTCATTGCAGCATTTCTGTGTAGTAGGGAAATGAGACCCATGACCAAACCCTCCTCCTGGACTCCTCTGCAGTTGGCTTTGAGCTTGGGCAGCCTGAGCTGCTCCAGGACTGTTTCTGCCTATGCTTCCTGGTCCCGTGTGCAAGAAATACTCATGCCTATGTGGCAGGCAAGCTCCCCTGCAGACAGCAAGGCTCCCCGGGTGCTGCTGCTGGGCGAGCAGCTTTGGGGGATGCCCCTAGTCCTGCCCTGTGGGAGGGAAGTGAAAAACCAGCTATGCAGAAACCAGCTGTACCCAGGTCACCTGGCCTGACGCTCCTGCGAGGACGCACAATTCAGCAGGTTGGCAGTAGGACTCAGACACGGCTTACGCCCAGTGAGAAAGGGATGTTGCCCTCTTTCATTTAACCTTCGTTGCCCCCCAGGTTGACCTGTAGTGCGGAGACTCCCGGCTGGGCACCAGGTCAACCGCATGCAGTCCTATGGCAGGTTGACCTGTTGTCTGGAGAGCTGTGGCCAGGCACCGGTCAGCAGTGTGGACCATAGCCCCCCTCCCTTCTGTCTGTACTCCGGTTTTGAGACAAATGGCCCCCTGCAATGGGCCCTGCCCCCATTGTCTGGGGCCAACCCAGGCTTCAGAGCACTGCACATCATCGTGTGCAGCTAGGTTGCTCCTTCCCAAGCTCTGGCGTAGCCAGTGGTGCAGGGGGCTGGACCCGATGCTCACCCAAGATCCCTTCTGGCCTTACAAGCTATGAATCCATGGTGTCCTGTCCTCCCGGTGTGTCGGCCCGGAGCAGCTGAGGACACCCGGGAAACGCTTCTGAAGTTTGCAGGCCCGGTGCCTGACTGCTTCTCTCCCAGCTGAGTGGAAGTGGAGCACGCGAGTGCCTTCACCTGCTCTGGGGTCTTTGCCAGGAGCTTTCCCGGCTTGCCTCGCATGCTTTTACTCCCTTTCCTCCTCCTCTCTGGCCTCCCGAGCCAGCCAGCACCTCCCTTTCGTGCTGCTGGCCGTGTCCCCTGAGCAGACCGTTCATCCCCTCCATCTGCCTGGTGCCGGACTCCCCGCTGCAGTGCCAGTCGCCATCTATAGCTAACGCACGTCGTTCGGAGCCGTTTTGCTGCTCTTTGCTGGCTTTGCATCCACGCATGTCCGAGAGGCCAGCCAGTGAGCTCCTGGTGCGTGGGAATGGCTGGAGCTGTCTGAGAGCCAGGAGTCGAAGCCACAGTGAGCCAGATGAGGGGAAGAGGAACTGGTGCTTGCTTCGGTCAGCAGGCTCGCATGTGGCCTCCTTGAGCACAGCTTGAAATAATGCTCAGAAATCCAGTCAGCAAAACCAAACCCAGCCCCGGGAGGGGAGGAGGAGGAGGGCGGTGCCGCAAGGCACGCGGGGAGGACTGGTCTGGCGTCCAGAAGCAGCACGACGTTGAATGTCCGGAGTCCCAGTCCTCGCTCTGCCTGGGGACGCTGGGCTCTGACCGCACCTGAAGCGTCTGCGCGCCGGGGGTGTCTCTGGCAGGCGTGCTGCTGTGGGTGCCCTGCTCTCTACGCTGGGCGGAGGGCAGGCAAGCAATAAAGCCCAATTAGCACATGGCACAGATAATGAACGTCACGTGGGTACGGCTACGCTCCTTCTGGTTTGGGAAATGGCCTGGATGCATTTTGAGGATGCATCTTCGGAGCCTGGGAAGCTCACAGCGCAGCCACAGCTTTAGGGCTGTCTGATTTCCCGGGGTGAGTAGTGAGAGCAAACCGGGCCTTGATCCCTGCATTGCATGTGCGTCTGCTCGCTGGTGCATGCCACTTTTGTCACCGAGCGTATTGGTGCGTGCACGTGCTTGTGTGACCTCCAGCCTGTCTGCAGCACGGGGCTAGTACTTCCCACCCCTGCAGAGAGGCTGTGAAAAGCAGCGGAGTCCTTCTAGCCAAGGAGCTCCTTGCTACTAAAAAAACCCAATTGCACTTCAACTCTACAACCCCCTGCTAGGTATCCCTCGAGGGGATGGATCCCTGCCCAGCCAGTGCCCAATGGCTGGGTGCTGCAGGGCCTTTCTGGCTGCTGCTTGGTGCAGAGCTGCCCTGGGCCTGGCAGCCAGCACGGACTTACGCAAGCGATGTGGAACTTTTCACCTTTTATTACAAAAATATCTTGCAAGCAAAAAAAAAAAAGAAGTTGAAGTTGGCGTCTGTACAAATAGTTCCCTAGCTGGTTTAGAAACATTGCATCTCCATCTCCCAGCCACCCCTACCCCTTCCGGGCCTGGCGGGGTAGAGCAGCTAGAACAAAGTACTCTCGCCAAGCCTGTTGTGCCAGGCTGAACCTAGATTCATAGCTTCTTTTTATTTTCCCACTTGAACCTACTTCAAGAAATGGTACCTCGGTAATGCCACGTGTTGGGAAGAATACGTAAGAGGCCGACATTCAGGGCTGCGCTGAGCAGGGCGGGTTGACCGCTGTGCGCCCCAAGCTGGAATTTCCTCCCCTGGAAACTTGAGCCCTGGATCTCTTGACGATCTGGGGAAAATCAAAGCCGGGGCATTGCATCCAGCCTCCCACACACAGAGAAAATGGAAGACGCCGCTCCTGAAAGGCAGCTCACGGCTGCGTTTCCACTGAGTCACTTCTCTGGGGCTGTGGCGAGCCGTAAGCCTGCCTTGCGTCGGGAATGTTTTGCAATTGGAAGCATGCGCCCTCTCCCGCGACCGCCCGGCTAGTGCCAGCGGGGATCACAGAGGGCTCCCGACCACAGCCGGGCACCTGGGCCTCGCCGGTGCCCCAGCCTTCCTCTTGCACATCCTGTCCTAGTGCTACATACACAGCAGTACACCCACACACGACACACACACACATTGGTTTGTAGCTCTAAAGATTAACAGTTACATGTCCGAGACTTGTACATTAGCTCTGGGGGATCTCTCCCCTTGTGCATCCAGGCTTTGCTCTAACTGTTCCTGCTCCCGGGATCACCTACGCCAGAGCCGGGGCCCCTCGAGGAACTGGCCGACAAGAAGTCCCGAGAGTCTGTCAGCCTGTGCTACCGTCTGGGCTCTGTGCAAGCTCTGCTAGGAAGCCCCTGGGTCCCAGTCTCCTCCTTTTGCAGGTGCTGATGACCAGGACACTGGCAGTGCCCCCGGAGCGTGAACACCTGGGGGGAACTGGGGAAGTGGCAGTGCTCAGACCAAGACGCTCCAGTGCCAAGAAACATCCTCGCTTTATGGATCTCTTGGGGAAAGCCAGGGAGTCTCCACAGCCCTCGAGGACGCACGTGTGTCCTTGGCACTAGTGAGAGACTAGACAAGATGCGGGGGGCAAAAAGAGACGGGTGGAAGCGGAAGTGACTTATTCAAACCGAGCACTTCCCTTCCCCGGGAAGCGCTTGGAAGGTGTCTGGGTCGGGGGTGGCAGTGAAACTGGGCCTGACCCGAGCGCTCTTGGGTCCCGGGAAGAGGAATAATCGTCATCTTGGCTTGACGGAGAGACCTCTCCCCAGAGAGAGGAATGGGGAGACCTGTTCTCAGAGACCCCCCCACTTCGCTCGGCTGGGCTGCCTTCTACAGCAGTCCAGAGCCTGGACTGGGCCATCCGCTCCAAATTTACTCCCGAAATATCCTCCATCCGGAGGGAGGATGAGTCACACTGGCTAGTTTCCCCATGAATGCGATCGGCTAAGGTGGCCCGCAGAGGATGCTGCCGGCCGCTAGAGCGACACGGCCCCTGCTCGGAGGAAGCTGTGCCGTGGGGTAGGCAGTGGTGTCGGCGCCGCACCGAAAACATGGCCCAACCAGTTAATGCGCTTGCAAGGAAGCCCCGTGCGCGGCGCCCGAGGGACTCCAACCCCGCGGGAAGAGAAGTGTTTTATGGGTCCAGGGACAGAGCTGCGTGGAGTCTGGGGCTGTCTGGGGCTCTCCCAGGCGCGCGGTGGAAGTCTGGGCAACGCCGGGCAGCTGCAGCGTGGCTGTCGTGGTCCAGTCCGGCTGAAGGCTGGTAGCATAGCTTGCACATCTAGCGCACTCCAGGAGCCTTCCTTGAGGATCAGGTCTTTGTGCCCAGCAAAGGGAGGGGCTGGTGGATTTTGCCCCGTGCCCAGGAGCCCCAGACAGCCACAGCCTTGCTCACTTCTTTTGGATTTGGACACTGGCATATTCTGAGCCGGTCTCCTCCGGGCGAGGGGCCGGCCGCTTGGGGGCCTGGCTGAGATGCACCATGTCCAGGTCAGCATAGGTGAGGTTGTCCTCGCTGGCGGCCGGCGGGCTGGTCTGGATGCAGGCGTATTCAGACTGCTGGCTCGTCTCGATGATCTGCAGCTGGTCCTTCTTCACCTTGTCGAAGTTCAGGTCAGCGTAGGTCAGGTTGTTGGTCTCGGAGTCCTGTGCGGGGAGGAGACGCAGTCAGTAGGGAGCCGGCTGCATGGAGGGGTCTGGATTTGGCTGCAGGCTGACCTGGGGCAGCTGCTCAGTATCCCGGGATCTCAACATCCCTATCTGTTATATGGGCATAACTCTGGACCCTACGTCACCCTTGACCAAAGTGCTTTGATGTTACTGGATGGCCAGTGCAGCAACATGGTTTGGTGCTGGGTGTCTAGACTATACACCCTTGCCATTGCCTACAGCTCTCTACTGCTCAATGCAGCTGGATTACGGGAGTTGGATACTTCATCCCCAGCCAGCTCCCAGTTTCTGGCTGCTTTGCTGTCCTTCCACCACTTGTCACAGCACACTGCCTGCTGCCTTCGGGCTCCCCTGGGGAATCTGGGACGTGCGGGTGCCGTGCACTGCAGGGCTCTTCCTCCCTGCTGCCTGCCAGCGAGCGGTGCTCTGAGGGAAGGGGCTAAATCCTGCAATCAGTGGCAGTTCTGGGTGTACAGGGCTGTAGATGAGATCATGGTCTAGGTAGGATGCTCTGTCCCTAAAGGGCAAGGCTCTTCTAGCATTCGACTGGCTGCCTGGGCATACATGAGTGGGCACATGCACGGGTTTCGGTGGGACAGAAGGAGCTGGGGGCTGACAAGCAAGTTACTCATGGCTGCGTCAGACTCCAGAGCTCTAGAAATAGCTTCCCGGGTTGCTGGTCCAGCTGGTTCTGCTCGCAGCACACCCAGGTTTCTTCTTTGGGCAGTGGGGATGGACAGAGGGAGGAAGGGATTTGCTGGGGGTAGCCTCTGCAATGGGCACTGGGAGTATCTCTCCTCTGAACCATCTCCTCCACCTTCCTCACTCATGCAACAGGCTGTGTGCTTCATTACCCCGCTGCTGTGTTTCCACACAGGGGATCTGACCTTCTCCTGGGTATCCCCTGCCACCCCGGCTGGAGAGAAACTATCATTACACACCTGGGGAGCTGTCCCGCTGCTCTTCTCAGACTCATGTAGCCTAAAGAAAAAAGAAGAAACTGGGATCAATAGATGCGCTTGTTGCCTTCTTACAGCCGCGAGTTCGCAAAGCATCCGTCACACGTTCACACATAAGCACAGTACACCCCTGCGAGCCCATGGGAGTTGGCTGTGCTGTTCAGCTGCATTTGTCCTCTTGCACAAACTTAAGGGCCCTATGTCCATAGATGGAGGCTTCTGCCTTGCCACATCATCTCTGCGTGTTGTGAATCAGTTCAGTTGGGGGGGTGGAGGGCTGTGCTCAGCCAGGAGCCTTAGGAAGGTACATTCAAGTTCATGCAATGTGAGGACTATTCCCTGTGACATTTGTTAAGTCAAGGTTGCCCCTTGGCCTGGCAATCTCTGGCTAAGAGCTTTACAGTCGTGCTCTACCAGGCCGAGTCCTGATTTAGGAGCTAATCTTCGTTCCACAATGGCTTTAAAACTCTGTAGGGACTGGTATGTCTGTGGACCTCACTGAGTTTCCCACAAGCTCGAGATGGTGAATGCTGCAAAGTGCCTGAATCCACATACTCAGGAAAAGCAACCAAGTGTGGGCCGCTGTAAACCCCGGCTGATTTTGCATCGCTAAGGCACCAACGTATAGACCCGGCACCTAGCGTAGGCCTGATCTACTACTGTACTAACTTCCAAGATCCTTAATAAATCCCCCCCTTGGTTTCCTCTGCGCTTCAATGAACAAAGCAGAGCAGAGAGTTGTACTTACCGAACGGAAGGGGAGCTTTTACCTATTGAAAAGAAAAAAAAACACCACCAGTTTAGGGCACATGATTATAGCACCGGGGGATTTTTAGCCCATTGACTCAAGCTTCTTCAGAGGCAGATCCATTGTGGTTTCCAGAGCCCGAATGACTGCACCTTCCTGAAAGCTTGCAGGCCCTGCCACAAAACTGCTTTCTGCCAGCGCAGAACAGAAGTCTTGGGGTTGTGAGTCATGGGCCAAATAGTTCAACTGCATCTGACTCACAAATGCAATATTGTGCTTAGCCTGGGGGGTTGGCATGAGTGTCCCTCCCTTGCTTACACCCAGTAGCCCCTGGTAGGAGAAAGGGTGGGAGTGGAGAAGGTTGGTCTGTTCTCAGATGCTCTGGATGGCACTCTTCCCCCGTACCTCGCCTTCCCTCCCACATTGCATCTAAAACGTTCAGGTCTGGGATGAAGCTCTGCAGGCAGCAGAGGGAGCAGAAGCCAGAGAGATTGTCTGGATGAGATCAGTGGTAAGACAGGCACGTCTCAGCACTACTGAGAGGGCCTCGAGTGCTTTGGGAAGCCCTGAGCGCACAACACAACCCGTGCTTGCTGCATTTGATAGTAAAGGGGTGTTGTACACTGGGCGAAAATGTAACAACCCAACCCGCTGGCTGAAGATGTTTTGAACGTACTGCACCTCTCCGGCCCCCTGCACGCGGCTGCAGTCAGCCTGGCCCTTCGAAGAGCCAGCTGGGGGGGGTGGGCTAGAACAGCTGGAAGAGGCCTTTACTGGGGGCAGTTGGCACGAGCTGAGCCAACTGGGCTGCATAAACATGGGGCAAGCATCCAGGTCAGCCAGCCAGTTTCCCACAGTGTAGTGCTTTGTCTCTTGACACCTGGTAGTGCCCAGGGACTTATTATAGGCCTCTAATACGCTGGTATTGCAAACTCCCGAGCACTGGGGATGCGGCCGGCTGGCCTGCCACAGAACAGACATATCCGCTAGCCTTGGGAGATGGCATGAGTTGGCTTCAGGCGAGGAGGAGAGCAGTTTCTTTCCTGCCTTACCTCTAATACAAGCAAGGCAACCCACTGAGCACTTCCCGCAGCGAGTCGCGGAGCTGCCTCTAGGATGTGCTGGCTGTGTTTTAATGGGCCGGCTCTGCTGCTCGTGTTAAACCCTCTGCACAAGAGCAAGGACCTCTCTGCTTGTCTCTGGGCAGAGAGACATTGGCTTCCATCCGCCTTTCTAAAACCACCTTGGTGGCCCTGATCCTCCCCGTTCTCCTCCCGGCTAATCTGCTTGCAGCTTCCCAGGCTGGGTGTGAGCTGCTGCAATGCATGTGGCCCCTTGCTCAAGCAGCACCTTGGCACTGCCCAGCAGGTGCCTTGGAGCGTGATGTGCTGGGCCCTGGTTGCTATACACAGCCATCTGCCCATCCCATTGTGCTTTTCCAAGCATGACTGATGCGATCCTCTTCCCCGTGAACAATGAACAACGTCCTGGCTGCTGTTGGCAGCATCTTCCCCTGCTCCCGTGAGCGCGGCCGAGCGGCTCCAACTTCGAGTAAACAAACTGGGAGCGTCTGAACCCGCCTGGGAAACGCACTGAGTAACGAAGTCACGAGGCGCTCTTGTGCCGGGTGCTTCGGCTTGCAAACAAGGAGCTCTTTGGTGCTGCTAAATGCTGCCCTCAGACCTTAGGGGCAGAAGCGTATCAGGACTTTTAAGGGATTAGTCCAAGTATCACTGCAACGCCCGTGGCACATGGCTGTCCATAGGTGCAGTCTCTGTGGGTCCTAAATAACCTGTTCTGCTGCCGCTCCTCTCTCATTACAGCTGCTGTAACATCATAACAGCAAACTGCAATTTTTAAAGACCCTCCCTGCTCACAGGGGAGACTTGTGTAGCAAGCAGATCCCTTTCCCTTCCCGCCTGCAGACACTTGCCTTTGCTCTGCTTAGCCCAGATGAGGTAGACGACAGCCACCATCAGCAAGCCCAGTACGAGGCAGACCACTCCCACGGCAATGTATATGGTCTGGACGTCGTTTTTGTCTGCAGGGAGATTTTTGGGATTATACAAGGCAGGTGTCACAGTGCTCAATTAGACTGAAGCAAATTAAACAGAGAAAGGCTGGGCTGCAGTAAAGACGGGCCAATGCCATCCTGTTCAGAGCCGGATAGCGAACCCAGCTGATAAGACATTGGGTTAGAGACAGGCCTGCGCTAGGAAGTTGATGGGAGCATCCAAGTCTCCAACTAGTGTCTGTTAGCTGCAGATAAGGTGTGTGGGATAATGATCTATCTTACCACGCCAACTTTATGCAGCTTTCAGAGAGGGGATAGTCTATGTCTGATGGGTGACGTTCTCTGCCCGTGGATGCAAGCCTGCACCTTTGCTCTGGCATTGCCAGAGAGCTCAAACACTACACGTGATGGACAGCCTTCTCCATCCTCTCCATGGGTGTGTGCTGGGCCTTTTGCCACGTTTGAGAGTTAAAAAGCAGCTGAACTGCAGTGCAGGCACCTGCCGACATAACTTCCTAGTGGTGTGCACTACGCCCGCCCCCCCCGTAGCCCGGGAACATCTTGTGTGCTGCCCGCTCTGGTGCGCGGTGTAGCTGGCTGGCACCAGCTGTAACTTGTGCTGCGGCCGGTGGACCTGCCCCAACTCCTACAAGTGTAAAGGCATGGTAAAGGCACCCTGGATTATCCTGAGGTTGCTCTCCAAGCTGCAGTTCAAGCTGGGGCCCTTGGTCTGGAGAGGGCTTTAGCCCTCAGGGTCCCAGTCTGGTGTGCAGCTGCACTCCCACCCTGGTGAGATGGGCATTTTGATGGTCCAAACAGGGAAAGAAGCCAGAGGTCTTGTAACTCCTGGGTTCAAACACTGCATGGGGCTTAGGTTGGCTGTTGGCATCCGGAAGATGCAGAAAATGGACACCAAGCACCCGTGAGTCCTAGAGAAACCTCAGGCTACCAAATGAGGCTGAACCTGCGGCTCGCAGGAAACATATGGGCTTGGGCCCATTCCAAGGGAAGATGCCGCCTGGTTTGTGACCAGAACCATGCAGGGGTTGCTGGGCTCTGTCTTCTGGTGGGTGATGCTGGGTGGCTTCATGAAACGCTGGTCGCTTCCCATCAGGACTCCCTACCCTGAGCTCCGAGTGCTGGGGCAGTAAGGGCCTTGGCCTCGAGCAATGTCAGTGACCCCAGCGCAGCAGCCCTGGGAGGCACTCACCTTTCTTCTCGTCCCCCTCCACCTTGTTGCTCGTCACGGCGAC